CCCCAAAACCCCAAAACCCCAAAACCCCGTAGCTGGTTCCAAGTTGAAATAATAATTAACATGCAGGCTTATTCACAGGATTTTCAACTAGGTGAGCGACCAAGACCAGACCTAATGTTTTTGGAGTATTGGTTTACTTCTGTTGTTATTATACATTGTTTAATGTTTCTTGGATACATTTTAGAAACAATCAGTGTTATATCTTCAAATTCATGATTCTATATATTGTACGTAAAAGCTAAAAATGGCATAGAAATCCTCTCATTGATTCCAAGTATATAGTTTTAAAAGATATTAGCAAAGATAACTTGATTTGTCCTAAACTTTAAAAAGTCTCCACTATATTATTTTATAATTTTTAATGTCTCATAACTTGACTTTTAGATTTCATAAAGCATAACCAAAAGAATCTACTCAAACAGCAAGAATCTTTTCCACTTCCCCAGGAAATAGAGTTTTCTGAATATGAGCATCCCTTTATTGAAGGCTATGATGCAAGAGTCCAGGTTCAGGATTCACAGAAGAATATCAATAAGAGAGCAAAATTAAGCGAGGTGGAATTATCTAAGAAAAATAATATTTCTAAAAATGTCATCACCAAAAATTTTATACACAAAGATATTTCAGTAGGCTCATTAAGAGATTCGAGAAGTCTGAACTCAGGTGAACAAAATGAGCAGTCCTTCCGACCAAATAAAATATTTAAGATTTTTAGAGATAATATTACTCCATCTGATAGAGGTTCATTAGATGGTGAAAAGCATTTGCAGTACAAGAAACGATGGAGCTTCAAGCAAATAGATTCTCTTACTCACAATGTAAATATGAGCATAGCTTCTCAAGCTAGTAACACAATGACTCAAGAATTTCAGAAAGAGGAGAGTAAAAGAGACTTTATTCATTGAGCTCCAATTAATATTCTGCTAAACACTTCTAGTCTTAATGGGACTCAGCTCAAATACCGTAAAGATGTGATCAACAAGAAGATCTTCAGAGCCTTCAAGAAGTTCATCGCCCGCTGCTTCTACTCCACCGATTGTAAGCCCAGCAAACTTAAAGTTCCGTTTGGAGACTTCAAGCAAACTTTACTTGAAGATGCTGAGAGGATTGGACTCTCCCATCCAGAAGATGCTTCCGAGAACACTGAAGAGTTCAGGGAACTTGTATGCTGGCTGGCAATGAATAAGTATACCAAGATAACAAAGAGTCTCTTTAACTACAACAACGACTCTATCAGGATACTTTCGACAATCCTAGTTAAATATTCCCATTCAAGTTTGGAAAATCTTATCAAAAATAAAAAAATCGGGAGAGCTTTCAAATTCTTCACAGAGAATGGACTCACACCATTCATTACAAGTTTACCAAAAGCAAGCAGAGAAATTTATTCAAAGACTGTTAGTCTTATCGCTGAATGATTTAATTATAATTGATAAGTAAATTTAGTTGCTATTACAGCCCCTCTTTCCTTAAAAGAGTTCCAATTAAGCTGAATAATTCTTAAATATCTACTTTAGGGGTAGTCCTAACCTCATAGAGGGTTGCCTTGCGCGAAGCTTATTAAAAGTGCTGATGGAGTAATAGAGTAAAAACCTTCTGTTCTATAAAGTCATTTTTCTCTATTTTAGCCAAGATGTTTCTTTGCTGATTTCAGTAGTTTTAGTACTTAGTCATGGTAGGGTTAGAAATATTTGGCTAGTTTATTCGACAAAATTCATTTTGAGGACTCCAATAGGCATATGAAAACTAGCCTTACAAATTGTTGTTGGAATCAGCTACTTAAAAGCCTAGAAATAATAGAGAAATTTTATGGTGAGATATCTGGACTATTATAGTTCTATTATAATTGTTAGGTAGGCTCACAATTTTAGAATTCTTATATGTTTGCCTTGCACAAAACATATTTATCAAAGAAGCTAGTCACGGTTTCAGTTATATTTTATTCACGATTTATGAATTACGGTGAAGAAACTAAAAATAAAATAGGTTTACAACCTTAATATTCTTAAAATATGAGTATTTCTTGAGATGTCATATACTCTTAGAGGCTGAAGAGCTGGATTAAGCTTCAAATAAATTATGTGGTATCACCAGAAGTCTTACAGAATCAAGTAAAGTTTCTAGCAAATGGAACATCAGGATTGCTCTTTTAGCTCAAAAATAAGGATTACTCAAATGTTATTTTCCTTCAATTACATGAATCAAAAAGCTGATTATATTAAAAAGAAATTGATTTCCGGTGATTCTGAATGTAGTTTCCAGTTTAAAATAATTAGTTCTCCGCTTCTATTAATTTTCAATTAAGTCCTCTGCATAAAAATTTTAGATGACATCTGTCGATAACAAGGCCAACTTTGATAATATTACTAAAAAAACTGAAAGAGAAACTCTTTTCCCATAACCCCGCCTTGACTCCTATCCCATAAAAAGCATTTACCAATGCTTCTGACTAACCTAAGCACTAAAATTCTGAAAAATAGTCCCAACATTCCTTTTCTAAACAATAACACCCCATCTCCCCTCCCAGATCCCCCCTACAACCCCTCACAGCCCCACCTCCCATTCCCCTCCCTCAATTCCAACCTATGAATTCCTCCTAAAAATTCAACTTTCCTCCCTCCCTTGGGGTTTTGGGGTTTTGGGGTTTTGGGG